GTCCCCCCCCCCCCCCCGGATTTTTTCCGGACAAACCAAATTGCAATCATGTCCCATCATTGCAATTGGTTTCCAGGTCCTTTATCTCAATTTTTCAGACAAAATGTCGGTACTTAGCCCAAAAAACCCCAACATTAACAGCTATTAGTTCTGCAAAACGTAAGGGGGGGGGGCATAATAATGCCCCCCCCCCCCAGGTTCCCCCCCCCTCAGCTACGGGCCTGAATATATTATGATGAGGTTTAAATTTGACCTCCATTATTATGATCCTTAAAATGTTAACCGTTTTCGGAGTGTCCATTGTTTTGTACAGTGTATTTTAATACACACTAAAAAACACATAAATATGTATGTATGTACATATGTACATATGTATGTTAAAACACACTAACCTTAGTATAGTCGCAGCCAATTGATTTAAAATCACATTCCACGTCGATTTCTTCACATTCCTCAGTCTGATGCCTTCTCATTTCCTTTCGAGGTATATTCGTTAACTGACAATATTCACACGTGAGAGGAGCTGCCTGACAGTTTTCTTTTATATGTTTCTATATAGAAAAATGAGCATAAACAATTGTATAAAATAGAAAATGATAATAATATAATAATATTCAGATTTTTCCAATTTTTTTTCCACATGCAGACTTCAAAATTTTCCAGGAACCAATGGTTCCATGGTCCACCATGGTCCGAGGTAGAGGGGAGGTGTTGCAGTTGAGAGCTGATTGCAAAGGGCACAGCTCAGATGTGACCAAGGAGTTTTAAGCCTTAAAAGGCTTACTGGGACGCCTCTGGCCCTCTGTATACGACGCATGTCTTGTCAAGGAGTAGCTCCGATAGAAAGAGAACCAACCAAACTCTAGTTATGTGTTTTAAAAGAAATCAAGTCGGTATACAGATACCCATCAAGTTACAAGCCCTCCTCTCGACCCATACGGTATAGTAGCAGGCTTATGTAAGGATCAGCTTGCAAAAATACCTGGAATCTTATTTGATAATATCAGAGTACAATAGTCTGGCGTTATATTAAAGCAGAAAAGTTAAATGATAATATAGAGATTAGAGGGCGTTAACAAAGGTTAAAAGAACAGAAGTGTTTCATATCTCTAATCCCCAAAATAACTTGACGTGTGTGAACATACCTCCACAGAAGCAAAAGGCAGCGCTTCTTGACAATTTTCACACTGGACTGATCGATATAGACATTCTTCCTTTAAATGTTCTCCCAAGAGTGAACGTTTGATTTTAGCTTTACATGGAGTATGAACACATTTTATCACGGTGTACTCACATGAGTCGATGTGAGCCTAAAAAGAAATATGACCGTTATATACTAGTTGCAGTAATCATGTCACTTCAACAAAAAAAAAACCTAAGTGATTTTCTAATTTTGTACCGCTTGTTCCAAGGTGCGCGAAATCAAAACTGCGCATAAATATCGCATTTAGTTAGGTGCGCTAATTACGTCGCGCGAAATTAAGTATGATTTAAGACTGAGCGAAAATTAGTACAATACGAATATACAAACTATTCAGGCATTTACAGTCGCAGAATTATTTACCTGCAAATATTTTCCCACCCCAAACCAACTACACTCATTATTTAAACAATGTAGCTTCAACAGCATTAGTTCTCGCTTTGTGTAACCATCGAGAAAAATCTAGGAAAAAATTATTTTGTATGGTGTCATCATTTATATGGTTTTGTTTTGGAGGGCTATTTATTATGTGCCAATATATTATATTATTATTATGAGGTTTAAATTTGACCTCCACTAATACTAGTGCTACCATTCAGACATCACTAACCAATCGGATGCTTTTAATCTACCCGATTAACCAATCACACACATACTTAGTCATTTTGCGGTAGAGGGTATTGGAAGTCTTGTCAAAACAATGACTGATTGGATTGCATGGAGAACAGTGGGATTTTCAAAACAATTAAAAATTAGTGGAACATTCTGATCACTACATCATGGCTGAATGGCATTGCTATAAGTGTTGTGCGAAGGCATTATTTTAAGTGAGTTATTTGATATGAATATCTTCAAATGTTTACATGGATCATTGATTTACTAGTTTAATTAAATTAAGGTGGTTATTTAGATGATGTACGAGTTTTACTATAATCAATCTTACTTTAAAGGGAAGATCTTGAGATGGAAAATAGTTAACTTACTTCCTTCTCATTAAGCGAGGCTCCATCTTTTGGACACACTGGATTGGCATCGCTAGGTAAAATGGTAAGGTAAAAACTTTATTTTACTACGCTGACCCCTACAGCGATAATTGCTGATTTCCAAGGGGGGGGGGGGGGCGTAGATATTAAAAAATCAGATTACATATAATCAAATACATATTTAGTTACAATACAGACACTAGGATTACAACATGCAAATAATTAGAGATACATACAAATATCTTAAATTAAGGAAATATAGAATTTCGATATAGCGAAAGAAATAAATCATTGAGTAATTTGGCCAGGTGTTACAATACTGGTTTTAAAGGCAGCAAGCGATTCCTTATTTCGTTAATAATCTAAGAGGCTATTCCACAGTTTAGCCCCTCTATAGCTAAGACTTTTTTTAAGATGGTCAATCTTAGGTTAGGGCAAATAGAGTTTAGTGGAAGAACCTCTCAAATTGTAATGCTGGGAGGAAGGCGTTTCTCGAAAAATGTCAGATAGTCGTTTGGGTGCTGGATCATGAGTTATTTTATACATCTGGCTTGCTACAAACTGACTCCTTCCTTCCTTTAAAGGCTTCTATTGGAGCTCAGCTAGAGCAAGTTCAGACTGTCCATGTTCGTTTTTACGACCCATGATTATTCTAGCAGCCCTATTTTGTAATTTCTGTAAACGATCAGAAAGTGTCAAATTTATAGTATCCCTAACTTCACAGCATTAATCAAAATGCGGTAAAACTAGTGCATTGTAGGCACATATTAACGTGTTGTGATCAACATAAGATTTTAGTTTTCTGACCGCCCCAATTCCGGATGAGATCTTTTTGGAGATTTCTTCAATGTGTTTATTCCAAGATAAAAATTCATCAATATAGACCCCAAGTGCCTTTGTTCTTATACCCTTTTAATTGGTATGTCGCCGTAGTTCTAATCGCCCGCTAGAGCGATAGAACTAGATTAGAACTAATCGCCCGCTACAGCGGGCGATTAGTTAGTAATGGTACCTGTTGAAACAAAAGCAACCCGGGCAACTATGCTATTATTGATATTATAGCCTAGATCCGATTAATAAGTGTTCAGTTTTGACAAGATTTAGAG